AGGTAAACACGAGTAGATAATTAAATATTAACTGACGTACAAGATGTTTGTTACTCCCATCACCAATATACTATCATTTAGTTACTTAGGGATTGTTTCCGCCGTCCCAGCATGTGGCCTGTCAATATTCTCACCGAAGGTCACGGGTAAGTACCAATATACAAGTATTCACGTACCGAAACATGATCGGCAGAGTCACGTGACTCTTTCCCGAGTGTCATCACGTGTCTCTGCCGTGAGTCACGTGTCTGACTGCGGTGTGGGACGCTCTCAGATAGCCTGACCGACAGTTCCGTCGTACCGGCGGCCATCAGCGCTGCCCCTGAAGCCGATTCTGAGTGCCCACACAGCCAGCGCGCTGAAAATGTGGGCTATTTGTGTGTGAGGGCTGACATTTGAGGGCCGCTCCACTCTCCAGTGCATTACGGTGGAATATGTGGGACGCGATGGGGCTGCACATCGGGCTGGCTGTGAACTGATACGGCAGTGAGACGGCCGGCTGACCGGACAGAGCATTGGCGTGGGTGGACTCAGCGACAGCGACACAGTTGGGTGGTACTTCCGGCGTCCAGGGCCTCGTTTCATAAAGCGAGTCCGTAACTTACGCCGGTTTTTGGGCTTGTATTGAAAGTGCATGTGAAGCGATAAATTTATTTCCCCTTCTCCCTTCTGTTCTTGCTTGCAAGATAAATAAATTCAACGATTCAAGCTGTCGCCATCGCTTCACATGCACTTGCAATATAAGACAAAAACCGGCGCAAGTTACGGACTCGCTTTATGAAACGAGGCCCAGGTCCAGGCCACACCTGCAAGTTTACTCCCAGATAGCAATGGCACATCATACGATTTTTTTGTGTATGACAGCTTGCCCTCATCAATGTGCTTCCCAGAAGGACAGGCGACAGCCCGCCTTTCCATGAGAACTTGGGTTGTAGCAATTGACGAGACAAAGCTTCATATAAAAGTGAAAGTGTCGCAAGAGCATATCTCATAATTTGCTTTCCTTAGCTCAACTAGTTTGCGGACGAAAACATTGCTCGCAGGAATGTTGGACAGTGAAGTTCCTGTTGACATCGAACTTTTAACATTTCTGAATTATTAACCGGGCAGCCTAGTTGACCTGTCCGTCACCGGGGCACAGTGGAGCTGTCGCCCGGCCGCGCCGTCCGTCAAAGGTCGGCTGCCCGCGCCGGCGGCGGTTGGCCGTGTCGCGCTCTCGGTCCCCATGACTGTCACCGGTGGCGCTCCGGAGTCGCTCTTTATGACGCGGCCGGCCGTATTTTGGGCGGCCGGCGCGGCCCCCGGACAAATGGCGCAGGGGCGGCGGGTGGCGCGCGCCGGCCGACGGTCATTGGGCCGCGGTAAAACACGCCGCCCGTAATGGCGCCCGGCATCAGACACTTTATGAGATGTTTGGTGTGCTTTCGCTGTGTCTCTGACCTACTTCGTTAGAATTATGAGCGTTGATGGGCTTCTTTACTGCAAGCGTAACGTAAAAAAAGATGACGTTTAACTTTGTATCGCTTCACGGGACAGTTAGCGACACGTTCAATACATGTAGGCAAAAGTGACCTGCGTAGTTCATGGTGAGTAGATGTGCGTAGTAACGTAGAAGTTATTGACACAATTTTTCATAATAGAACACGACGTCTAGAACGATATCCACACGTTTTAAACCTGCACTTCGCGATTAAACGAAGCACCTCCGCCATTTCATTTGACATGCACCGATTTATATGATTTAGCACAACCTGAATCAATCAACCTTCTTCTTTCTTATTAAAGCACTCTTATTAACAAATACCGCATGCGGCAATAACATGTGATTGTTATCACCTCAGTGTCTGATAAGTGTGACACACTGTGCTGTGACATTTTCGTTTTCTGATGGTAACATATAATTATCGTAATAGTTGTTGTATTTCATAAACGAGGGAAACAAACGCAGTCCTTCTTTGCTTTCCTTATTTCGTCTTTTCGATGTGGTGAATATGTAGTAAAGGCTTCAATTAAATTGAATTAACCGTTGTTACTGTAACTGTTACGTATCATTTCTTATACAGAAAATTATTTATATTATCCAAGTCCCACAAACGTATACCATCATTGCCATTATAAAATGTCCATCTTCTGATGAAAACTACTTTTCGTTTTTTATTCATTTTAAAAATATAAACTGTTTTTGAATATCTGACAAAGCTTCTTACAGCAAAACTTTTTTTGTAATTGTAAGCACATATTTTTCAAAATTTTCAAAATTTAGAAAATTCGAGATAACAGTTTGATAGCTACGTGCATTTGTAGTCTACCCATGCAAAGGAATTGGATCTAGCTTAAAAACTGAGCTCTTGAAAAGCGTTTGCCGTGATCCAATACTTTGCATCAAAATCGGCCGACATGACGTCACTTTGACGTCATTTCCGGCCAAACTGTGGTAGGTAGCCAGAAAGATGAAATTTTAACACAAGGTGTCAAATTGATGTCCCTAAGGGTACCGCAAGTTTCGTGTTGATCCGTCAAATAGTTTAGAAGATATTGCAGAAAAACCGGAGGAGGGCTCTTTAGAGCCCCTTCCCCCAGTCATGCGCGGGTTAACTTTCTTAAGTATACATACATACATATGTAGATAACTGCTGCTTTGCCATGTTTATGTTTGATAAAATATGCCCGAGGACTGCCCATACCCGCAGCTCTGGGTATCAGATGGGGTATTCGCTCAGGTTGAACGCCATACCTTTTTCTAATGGGGCATAGCTAGGCATCTTCGCCTGTCTCGACACCCGATCGAAACTGGTGCCGGTTCCTGATAGGTCACTCATCTGCTGTAAGAACGTCAACAAAAGCCAAATGACATTTCCAAGGGACACATTCATCCAACTGCTATAAAACTGTTTGAGCCAGTTAATGGAAAGAATGCTTTATGCTCGCTGCTTGATAAACTTTGAATAGTGTTTTGAGAACGCCTTATAACCTATGGATTGTTTCTTAGAAGACATCCCCGGAACCGCTGTGAGGTAACTTAATAAAAGTCGACTTTCTGCCTGTTCACTCACCAAAACGGTGATTGTATTGTTCCAATGGCTAGCCCACGTCAACTATGCAGCTAAAAACACACTCTATAACTTCCGCTGTGTAAATGTGGACAGGCTGTGCTTGCTGACCGCCTTCTGAGTCGGCGCGGGTCGCTGCGCGCTGGGCGTCGCCTAGCAACTGTGGGACAGCCGAACTGCCGGAAAAAGTCCTCTAGTTGACCTAGGCCGGCCGTTCTCCCCCGGACAAAGGACAGAAAGACAGACAGAAAGAGAGGGGTCTTAATTAACCTGGCCACGACATTTCCACGGCCGATAGCCACATGCTCTTAAGGTTTTGCTGCTGCTGAATAATAGAAACCCGCAGCGGAATGTTTATTTTAAAGAGACCCTCCCACCTTCAAAAAAAGTTTATGAATTGGCATGAAAGTGATGTCGCTCGGTTCAGAAAGAGCGAAAACGAATATCTACCAAATTTCACCGAAAAATATTCACCGGTTTTCAAGATATTAGGCTTATACTTTTGTTTACTTTTTGGGATCTCCGCTGTTCCTAGCGACTTTATTTGGAAGCAATAGTTTGGCACCTGAAAGTGCGGCACTTGTTGCGCGCAAAGCAGCATATACCACCGCGTGCTACAAAACGTTTAAGTCAAACATTTAAAAATCGTTAGATATCTGCGCTGACGTCACACATTCAGAGGGGTATTCCTATGCATTAGCCCCTCTGAATCAAAATGCTGCAATTTTGAAATTCAATATTTCCATGTTGGCATGGCATTTCTTGATGTTGTGAGTGCCGAAACCGGTAATTGTGAGCCAGGGACCCCATTTTGGCTATCTCAACTCAAATCTAATGTTAAGGTGGGAGGGTCCCTTTAACAATGTGAAACGCACCATACCAATGTTTGTGCAAACGTCGTTTGTATGTTTGTTTGTAAAGAAGAAAACAATCAGTGTTCCCTGCTGTTTCCTGGCTTTTCAAGTACTGAGGCTATGCACCGCCTTTACTTTCTCTCGCCAGTCAGCTGAATAAAAGACATTCAGCCGCCAACACAGTCGCGAAACAGAGACTTTGCCATTACAATGCGAGCTTTGATGTGATCTCAATGCCTTTGGTGCTATTTTCAGAGATAGGCAGCAGACAAAACATGCTCAAATATTTGTTCGACTTCCCTCTATCACATAATATGTTTGCGTCGAGAGCATCGTCTTTCTGCTGCAAACTTAGATCTGCAATAAAGGTCTGGTTAGATCCGGGTCGTTCAAAAGAACACAAAATTGAATAACGACATTTCAATCCAACTTGTGTACGGGATATTTGTATCCTTGTCGAAAAACATCAGGGCACCATGTCATTTGAAGTGCTATTGGGACTGACTGGCCGGGAGCCAGAACCAGCAGCGTCGCTCCGACCAATTAGTTTAGTGACATCTCGCCGAAATGTCATGATGACCTCTGTCTGTGTTTAGCCCTCATGTGTGTGTGTGTTTGTCCTTGCTGACCGCAGTTCATCCATATGACGCGCCAGAGCTTCGAAGGTGCCCGTTCGTCCCTCCAGGCCACATTGCACTAATTCGGGACTATTTCTCTTGTAGTGCTCGTGCGTCCCTTCTGAGTTTTGGTTTAAGTTTACTACCTTGAGACTGAGCCGTTTTCACGACGGGCTATCCGGCGAGTGCACCTAATTTGACCAAATCTACACCTAATCTCTTTTACAGCAAATATCTTTATTTTACGAATTTATTTCAGTGTTTTATCGATGATACTCTCTGATAATATGACAAAGCAGGCGTATAAGTAATTAGTGCAACCCTGGCTGATAGCTACTAAGAGACACACTGAACCTAATTTGACCATATCTGCACCTAATCTGCACCAGATGTGCACCAAGTGTGTACCAGATGGCCGTCGTGAAAACGTCTGTCTATTTTCTCCTAACTGCACTAATGTGTCACCGTTTCTGTTTCAGTGCCCTTGTCGACGGTGGTGGGTCTGGCTGGGGGCGAGGTCGCCCTGCCCTGCGACATGTCCCATTCTCCCGGAGATACTGTGCTCATCGTGCTATGGTACCGCAACGGATCCGACGCGCCCGTCTACAGGTAAGGCCCAAAGAGGCACCCGTCTATATGTATGTAGATCATATGCAAAGGTTTTAAGCAACGTGCGAAGACCCGCTCGCCTACAAGTGGCACGTAAATACTCTAAAGGTAACATGCGAAGACGGCATGCAACGCACGGCATCCCGACTCGGCGGTGGAGGCCATGTTAGTTTCATCCGCTGCCGCTAGATGACACTAGTGGTCGCCGCCTGAATCTGCACTGTGCCGCATGGCCCGGGCAGCGGCGCGGCGCACAGTGGGATGTGTGGGGAGCAGTTATTGGAATAGGGCGGTAGTGGAAACAGGCCTAACGTCAGCGTTGTAACGCTGCTAATACTCAGTCAGTTCATAATGGTTTGAATTGAATGTACATTTCACTATATTCGTAATGAATATATGAGAATGTTTTACCTAGATATCAATACACGTTCATCATTTTGCTTTCCTGACAAGCTCGACTTTCGTGATGTGTATAATGGTTGATGCAATGTCTCTAACAGCTGCTCGAAGCATGCTGACGCTGTTTAACCCTCGCCCGCACATGGGGGGGGGGGTTGCCACCCCTCCCCCCAGGTAGTCTTTCTGCTCTGCACTCAACATTTTTAGAGCTAGAAGACTGATTTTTCGTATAGCTGCTCCTCTATCCTTTCTTGATGTCCACCGAAAATTTCAAGTTTCTGTGATTTTTGGTTTCGAAGATATGACCTTGTTTTTCAGGTCATGTCATGACCCAAATGGCCAATTCTCAACATCTTGCGTTTGCCATGGGCCTTATGAGCTTTTGACACCCTGATTTCGGCCTTTTTTGCCAGTCTTACCTCCTACCTATCATGGAACATGTTGTTCGACGATGTACAGGGGTCAAGGTCAGGGTCAAGGTCAACCTAGGTCACCTAAGATAATTGCGTTTTAGGCAAGCTGAGTTTACTTTTTTGAAGTTTTTTGACTGCATTTTTGGTAAAAGCTTCTCAGATCATGATTTCATGTAATATGGATCCAAAAACAATCGGTGCACACATCAGTATACACACAGACACACACAGACATACAAACACATATAATTGACCTTGACCTAACTTGACCTGAAATGACCTCAGCAGCAAAATTCTGGTCGGGTAGTGTGACAAAGAGGTTCTAGCTGGCTTGGCACCAGAAAACAGCATCGTCATCGGTATTTGATAAGCAGCACACTTGATATCCAACGGTGACCCAAAACAGCAATATTTTTTAGTTTGACCTGACCTGGAAGGTCAATGACTGACCTGAGAAGGTAAAACTGGGTATCATTGGATTCGTCTCTTCCCAAAGAATCTTTTTGGTCTTTACTGCTAAGCTCTATCTCCAACAGGAACGAAATGGCGCGGGGGGGGGGGGTGGCAACCACCCCCCATGTGCGTTCTAGGATGGGAAAATGGCATGTGCGGGCGAGGGTTAATGTTCTATTTGACTTGAGAATCACATTGGACGGTAATTACATGCATATTTCGCAGTCTAGTCTGACTGTTACTAACAAAGCCTGACATATGCGGCTGAGATGCTTTTATCCAATTTACAGTGCCATCATCAATACTAAGAAATTGGAGCTCATCAATTTCCATTAGGAGCTTCCAACTCATCGATTGTTCCATTAGTGACTAGCCAGTGCCTCATTGGGACTATCGTCCGTTCATTAGCTGAAATTCATGAATATTTTGCCGAGAACGTTGGCTTTAAATTTATCTCCGTTGCGCGATATGTCCGGTAATGTTGTACAATCCCTGCAGCCAGCTGTGTTTCCGGCGCTCGACTGATATATGCGCGACTGCATGGTGTTCGTTATGTCGTCTCTCCATTAAGCCCGGCTTTTGGCGCATACATTATGCACACTCGAAACAGTGCCTCATATCTGAACGTGCATCACTTGAAATCAAATAGTGGACTTACCGGAATGAACGTCTGTCAAGACAGCCTCAGATTCAGATTCACTTTCAGAATCACATTCGGACCCCCTTAGATTTTCATAAAAACTGGTCCATAGGTACAGTTTTGGACGCTGATTCCAATGGTGAAGTCTGTTTTTCGCCACATATTATACTTTGGCCCCTAGAGGCATTCAAAGTTTTTTGGGGGCGAAGGGGGACCCCCTTAGATTTTCATAAAAACTGGTCCATGTGTACAGTTTTGGACGCTGATTCCAACGGTGAAGTCTGTTTTTCGCCACATATTATACTTTGGCCCCTAGAGGCATTCGAAGTTTTTTGGGAGAAGGGGGACCCCCTTGGATTTTCATAAAAACTGGTCCATGTGTACAGTTTTGGACGCTGATTCCAATGGTGAAGTCTGTTTTTCGCCACATATTATACTTTGGCCCCTAAAGGCATTCAAAGTTTTTTGGGGCGAAGGGGGTCCCCCTTAGATTTTCATAAAAACTGGTCCATGGGTACAGTTTTGGACGCTGATTCCAATGGTGAAGTCTGTTTTTCGCCACATATTATACTTTGGCCCCTAGAGACATTTAAAGTTTTTTGGGGCGAAGGGGGACCCCCTTAGATTTTCATGAAAACTGGTCCATGTGTACAGTTTTGGACGCTGATTCCAACGGTGAAGTCTGTTTTTCGCCACATATTATACTTTGGCCCCTAGAGGCATTCAAAGTTTTTTTGGGGGAAGTTGGACCCCCTTAGATTTTCATAAAAACTGGTCCATGTGTACAGTTTTGGACGCTGATTCCCATGGTGAAGTCTGTTTTTCGCCACATATTATACTTTGGCCCCTAGGGCATTCAGATTCACTTTCAGAATCACATTCGGACCCCCTTAGATTTTCATAAAAACTGGTCCATGGGTACAGTATTGGACGCTGATTCCAATGGTGAAGTCTGTTTTTCGCCACATATTATACTTTTGCCCCTAGAGGCATTCAAAGTTTTTTTTGGGGGGGGGGGGGGCGAAGGGGGACCCCTTAGATTTTCATAAAAACTGGTCTATGTGTACAGTTTTGGACGCTGATTCCAACGGTGAAGTCTGTTTTTCGCCACATATTATACTTTGGCCCCTAGAGGCATTCAAAGTTTTTTGGGAGAAGGGGGACCCCCTTGGATTTTCATAAAAATTGGTCCATGTGTACAGTTTTGGACGTTGATTCCAATGGTGAAGTCTGTTTTTCGCCACATATTATACTTTGGCCCCTAGAGGCATTCAAAGTTTTTTGGGGCGAAGGGGGACCCCCTTAGATTTTCATAAAAAACTGGTCCATGGGTACAGTTTTGGACGCTGATTCCAATGGTGAAGTCTGTTTTTCGCCACATATTATACTTTGGCCCCTAGAGACATTTAAAGTTTTTTTTGGGGCGAAGGGGGACCCCCTTAGATTTTCATGAAAACTGGTCCATGTGTACAGTTTTGGACGCTGATTCCAACGGTGAAGTCTGTTTTTCGCCACATATTATACTTTGGCCCCTAGAGGCATTCAAAGTTTTTTTGGGGGAAGGGGGACCCCCTTAGATTTTCATAAAAACTGGTCCATGTGTACAGTTTTGGACGCTGATTCCCATGGTGAAGTCTGTTTTTCGCCACATATTATACTTTGGCCCCTAGGGCATTCAGATTCACTTTCAGAATCACATTCGGACCCCCTTAGATTTTCATAAAAACTGGTCCATGGGTACAGTATTGGACGCTGATTCCAATGGTGAAGTCTGTTTTTCGCCACATATTATACTTTTGCCCCTAGAGGCATTCAAAGTTTTTTTTTTTGGGGGGGCGAAGGGGGACCCCTTAGATTTTCATAAAAACTGGTCTATGTGTACAGTTTTGGACGCTGATTCCAACGGTAAAGTCTGTTTTTCGCCACATATTATACTTTGGCCCCTAGAGGCATTCAAAGTTTTTTGGGAGAAGGGGGACCCCCTTGGATTTTCATAAAAACTGGTCCATGTGTACAGTTTTGGACGTTGATTCCAATGGTGAAGTCTGTTTTTCGCCACATATTATACTTTGGCCCCTAGAGGCATTCAAAGTTTTTTGGGGCGAAGGGGGACCCCCTTAGATTTTCATAAAAAACTGGTCCATGGGTACAGTTTTGGACGCTGATTCCAATGGTTAAGTCTGTTTTTCGCCACATATTATACTTTGGCCCCTAGAGACATTTAAAGTTTTTTTGGGGCGAAGGGGGACCCCCTTAGATTTTCATGAAAACTGGTCCATGTGTACAGTTTTGGACGCTGATTCCAACGGTGAAGTCTGTTTTTCGCCACATATTATACTTTGGCCCCTAGAGGCATTCAAAGTTTTTTTGGGAAGGGGGACCCCCTTAGATTTTCATAAAAACTGGTCCATGTGTACAGTTTTGGACGCTGATTCCCATGGTGAAGTCTGTTTTTCGCCACATATTATACTTTGGCCCCTAGGGCATTCAGATTCACTTTCAGAATCACATTCGGACCCCCTTAGATTTTCATAAAAACTGGTCCATGGGTACAGTATTGGACGCTGATTCCAATGGTGAAGTCTGTTTTTCGCCACATATTATACTTTTGCCCCTAGAGGCATTCAAAGTTTTTTGGGGCGAAGGGGGACCCCTTAGATTTTCATAAAAACTGGTCCATGTGTACAGTTTTGGACGCTGATTCCAACGGTGAAGTCTGTTTTTCGCCACATATTATACTTTAGCCCCTAGAGGCATTCAAAGTTTGTTTTGGGGGAAGGGGGACCCCCTTAGATTTTCATAAAAACTGGTCCATGTGTACAGTTTTGGACGCTGATTCCAACGGTGAAGTCTGTTTTTCGCCACATATTATACTTTGGCCCCTAGAGGCATTCGAAGTTTTTTGGGAGAAGGGGGACCCCCTTGGATTTTCATAAAAACTGGTTCATGTGTACAGTTTTGGACGCTGATTCCAACGGTGAAGTCTGTTTTTCGCCACATATTATACTTTGGCCCCTAGAGGCATTCAAAGTTTTTTGGGAGAAGGGGGACCCCCTTGGATTTTCATAAAAACTGGTCCATGTGTACAGTTTTGG